TCTGTCTAATACATCAGCCTTTCAAACTGGATTCCTCAATTCAGTTTGTAATTCTATCCAGAAGTAATTCACTTCTTGGGTGATGTAATACAGCCTGTATGTGAGCCATAAACTGGTAAACAAATATTCATTGTGAAATGACTTACGGGGTTTACAGATTAGTAAAATACACAAATGACTTTAGTAGATGGCAGGATTTTATGCTTCAGAAAGGTAAAATTAAATTGCAGTTAATAGTCAGAGGAACATAGTCAGAGGTACATAGTTACTTGTGGGGCAATATTAATGCCTGACACCTACTAGGCATTTCTTAAATTTGTGTTAAATATTGAATGGATTAAAAAACCCAACTCAAAAAAGCAGACCAAGAATATTAACATGTAATTCACAGAGAAGAAATCCAAATGACTAATAAACACATGGGAGTTCGTCTAACTTCACTAGTAAATGTGAATCCAAAACCACAGTGTAAAAAATGTTCACTCATAGAATTGAGGAAAACTTTAAAATCTGACAATATTAAATGTCAATCAGTGTATGGGAAAAAATGATATACTTCTGTAGGTCTAGCAGAATGCAAAATGATACAGTAACTTTGGGCAGCAATCTGGTTGGCTCTAGTGAACTGAAACTACAGCTAGCAGTTCCACTTCTGGAAACACATGAGAACCGCTCTTGAACATGTGACTAAGGAGACTTAGTCTCCTTAGACTAAGGATTTTTATTGCAGCAATGTTAATAAGAGCAAAGGAATGGAAACAATCAATCTTTCGTTAATAGAAAAGAAAAGTAGAAAAGGGGAATAAAATATGCATTTATAGGCTAGAATATTAATAAGCAATATTGTAAAATGAAATAGCTGTATATATATTAACATGGATAATTTCCAAAATAATTTCAAGTGAAAAAAGCACAAATTGCAGAATTATGCATGGAAGAAGATACTGATTTGCAAACTTAAAATACATGTGCAAAAATATACATTGGTTATGGAGTTCGAGAGTAGCCTGGGCAACATGAGGAAACTCCATCTCTACAAAAGATACAAAAATTAGCCAGTCTAATAACCTGGTCTCTAAATAGATAGATAGATAGGTAGATGATTGATTGATTGATTGATAGATAGAGATAAATAGATAATAAAAATTTAAAACTAAAATTTAAAAATTAAAGAAAAAGCAAATTGTGAAGTACTATTCATAATATCATACCATTCTATTTTAAAAGTGTGTATATGTACATAGAAATAATAAACACCTTAATGTTAAACAATAAGTTTTTAGTGGTGGGATCATCAGTATTTTTGTTTTCTTCTTTGTGTTTATCTGTATTTTCTCCTAATACATTTCTTCATGAAAAAATTCACATTTTTAAAAATTAAAACAGGGTTCTATTTAATATCAAAAATCATTTGTGTCAGCACCTTTGCTTTAAAATAATATTTTCCATTATTGGGCAGGGTACATGTTGGTCAAAGGGCACAATGTTTCCGTTAGGAGGAATAAGGCCTAGGGATCTGTTGTATAACATGCTACAAATAAATAAAAAATAAACAATTTCCATAATAATGTTTTTCATCTCACTCATTCCATCTCAGTATTTAATGGCAGAACTAAGTTTGGTTTTGAGCATTTAACAATGTTCAAGGAGTTGTGTAACTTCTAGATTGGGCTTTGCCTGCTCTGCAAAGGAGAAACAGCCAGTGCCTGAAAATAGCAATCACTTCTTCCACAGGGGCTTAGTTTCTAGCGTTAGCTCTTTAGCAAATTACCTGTGAAACCCTGACAAAAAAATCTTTCTGAGATTCAGGGTCTTCTCTTCTGTAAAGTGGAAATAATAATACCTGCCCTGCCTATTGTAATAAGTCTCTATGGGGAGGTAATGAAAAATATGTGTAAAGCAATATTGAAGGCTGTGAAAAGTTATACAAATACTAGCTGATAATATTCTTATATGATCTCTAAGTTTGGAAAGAGAACCATCAACTTGTCTAAAGAGACAAACTTAAAATGATTAATCTTTCTTTAATCTCTTCCCCTGAAATATCACTTTAAGACTTTAAAATTATCAAAGCAACTAATAAAGAAAATAATAATTGTCCTAATAGGCTCATAAGCCAGCTGTAATTCTCATGAAAAATGAAAACAGAGCTGACAAAGCACTGTTGCTATGTTGGCCCAGGAAACACAAGGACCTGCCACACTTGGTAAGTCAAATTGTTATCAACATATAAAGAGAATCCAATACTTGCTCAGGGAGAAACAGTTTTACCAAAGAGATCATTATCATCATAATCGTGATCATCAACTTCACAATTCACAGAAAACGTTAAAGCAGTATCTGCTATAAAACAAAAAGCTCAATTAATCAAAAGTCAATTAACTGAAACCATCAAATAATCCAATATATTTTCCAATACTCCTTCCTTTAAGCAAAATGTTTTATAAGAACACAAAGTAATGTAAGAGTGTTTTAAACACCAGAACATGTAAGCATAATAAGAGCAAGAATTCTGTTTTTGTGCCCTATTATAAGCCTAGTATCTAGAAATGGGTATATTTGTCAATAAGGATTGGTTGAAAAACATAAAAAATTGATTATAACTATAAAATCATATCTATTAATTATGATCCTGGGGCATCACAAGATCCTTTGTCATCAAAGAAAGTTTTCTTTAAAACCAATATGTTATGCAATCAAGAGTATGAACAAAGACTTTGCACAATGACTGGAGACTTTAATGTGTTATTCTTCCCACTTCTCCACCTCCACTGAATCAGAAAATATTCATAATTCTGAATATTTCATTATAAAAATTAGTAAATGTTGATGAACTGAAGTAGTCCCTGCCTTTTATCTTAGGGTTCCTCACCCCAATATCTGTTTCACAATGGAATTTCTCTAGAAATTCAGGTGTTTTGAAAAGTCTAAAAAAAAGTCCGTAAAATCAATTGGATTGAATTGTGTCCCCGCCAAAATCCATACGCTGAAGCTCTAACTCCTAACACCTCAGAATGTGACGGTTTTTGCAGACAGGACCTTTAAAGAGATGCTTAAGCCAAAGTGAGGCCATTAGATTAGGGTGGACCTGATCCAATCTGACTGGTGTCCTTGTAAGAAGAGGAAATGTGGACATGCAAAGAGACAGGAGAGATCATGTGCACAAAGGAATGGCTATGTGAGGACAGAGTGAAAAGATGACAATCTGCAAGCTAAGGAGAGAGGCCTCAGAAGAAACCAAAACTGCCGGCACCTTGATCTTGGACTTCAGCCTCCAAAAGCGAGAGAAATAAATTTCTGTTGACCACCAGTCTGCAATCTTCTGTTATGGCAGCCCTAGCAGACTAATACAGTTGGAATTAGGATGTCTGAGTGCTCGTGGTTCCTCCTCAACACTCACATAATATAAACAGCTTATCATCAGTGAACTGACCCATTATTTTATCATGATCCATTTATGTCAGTGTCTCTCCCCCAGACTTGATAGGTCACGGTGAGCTCTAATTTTTATTAGAGTTCATTTAAGGTCTCCAGCACCTTATACAGTGCCTTATGCACATTCATAAAAAGCAACAAAATTTTTTTAATTGTTGTATTGCACAAAACACTAACTTTGACTGTGGCCTGTATAATTTTTTGCTTTACTGAGATTATTTTCATTAACAATGTTTGTTAATGTTCCCAGAGTGGAGAAAAGAGGGTATATTCTCTATGGGACATAAGATATAACAGGTAAATAATAGGCCTTTTAATTTCAATGACACCCTAATACTTCACTCCCTACCCTCTTTTATTTGCTGAATGGGAAAATGACAATGAAATGAATGATTGGTGTTCGTGGATGTTATCCAAGTGAAAGAATGAGTGTAATTGATTAAAGGATATATAAACAAAAAGGTCAAAATGTAAAAAGCCAGTTATAAGATATATATTTATTGATAGAAACATTTTTAAATGTTGGTTTAAGAATGTTCAGCTTTCCAATATAGAATGAAATCACTGATATTTTAAAACATGTCATCTTATTATATGATAAACGCAGTACTCATTTTTTAATTAAAGAAAAATATGACAGTAATTCATAACAGGTTTTTTTTGTTTTTGTTTTTGTTTTTGATACAGAGTCTCTCTGTTTCACCCAGGCTGGAGTGCAGTGGTGTGATCTCAGCTCACTGCAACCTCTACCTCCTGGGCTCAAGTGATCCTCCCATCTCAGCCTCCTGAGTAGCTGGGACTACAGACACACACCACCACACCTGACTAATTTTTGCATTTTTCGTAGAGATGAGGTTTTGCCATGTTGCCCAGGCTGGTCTCGAACTCCTGGGCTCAAGGATCCACCCACTCTGGCCTCCCAGAATGCTGAGATTACCTACCAGGCCCAGCCAATAAGTTTTTTTCTGATTAAAATACACACACTTATCACAGAGAGTTAGTTAGAAGAAGGCAAGGTGATTTAACTTCTAGCTCCTTCATAGAATAGTACTGTGTCCTTGGGTGAGGCACTTAATCTCTTCAGACCACTTATTCATCTCTAAAAGGTGATATGTAGGTTGTTATAATAATGTTGATAAAGTAGCTGATACTTAAGGTCCCAGTGAGTTGGAGCTCTTATTTTTAGGGGTTAATTCTTTAAGATTTACATGAGTTTGGTAGTGTCCTATCTCCAAATATTTTAGAAAGAAAAATCAATATATCATATTTCCTTTGGAGAAAAGCATACCTGCCAAAGGTATTGTTTTTGACTTCTAAAAATAAAACTAAACTTTGTGAAAAGCAAATCACTATGTTCTGATATTCAGATTAGTAGAATCAACTTGCCAGGTGGAGTATTCACTTACCTGTCAAAAAGACAGACAAGTTAATAAAAATACAATCATCAGCTGTATCTAGAAAGCACATCACATGCAAAGCAAAGCAAAAGCTGATACTTTAATGAATCAAAACAGAGGTATAAGCATTTGTGAAAAATATAACTCTAAATATCACTGGGTTCTTACCTTTGGTTGTTTAAGTAATATATCTTTGTCTTCTAGAAGTAGAAGTCACTGGTGTATCCAAAACAAACGGGGATATACTGTAAATCTTGACATTGTCAAAATTCAGACCCTAATTTTAAAAAATAATAAATGTGCTCATTTTTTCCCTTTCCTTAAAAGATACACAAATGGCTAGTTTTCAAAATAATTCCCAGGGAAAGAAACCGTTCCGCGGCATTGTCAAAGTAGGTTTTCATGACTCGGCATTGGATTTGCGGATTTGCACATGGATGAAAATAACAGCAACCAAATCATCATTATCCTTTGCTTGAGCCTGAGCTTATTATATAAGAGTCAGGAATAAAGGAAGAGTTCTCAAAGGTACACCTCTCAACAAACTTGCAAGTAAACCAAAGGTAATATCGCCTGATGAATTTTATTAAAATTATACATCCAACTTCACCCAGGGTTACAGTTTTGAAAAAAGTGTCTAGGTTTTTTACAAAGTATAATTACATTTTCAAATATAATGTCATGATAATAAAAGCTATTTAAAATATAAATAGGGTGCCCTTCCTTATTCATTGATCTTTTAATTGTGTGTTTTATGGAGGAATTGCATATTTGATACACATCTGGTCAAGAAATAAAACAGGAAAAAGCTGAGCTTGCCTGAAAGAACAATTCATACTTAAGATGTACAAAAATCATTGCAATATTTCAGTTAGTGTCTCAATGTTACTCTAATGACCTAAAAGTAAATTTTCCTAAGAACTGTTTTATACAATATATGATGGGCTACATACACACAAAACTTTTGCTTATAGCTGCAAATCAGAATGACATTAAATAAATACTGTCTTCATTTAGCAAAACTACCTTTATTCCATCTAATAGCTCGAAAGATATGTCATGCATTCTCCAGTACTTGCAATATGTTTCCTGCTGAACAATGAACAACCCAGTAACGCTTATTGCCTCAGCTGAATGGTTTCAGCTCCCAGTGAGGTAGGAGGCTCTCAAGAGAGGAAACACCCCAAGATTCCTAACCGAGAAAATGAGAGGAGTACTGTGTACCTTGGAAAAGATTGACTTCTGAGTTCCAGAATTTTAAAAATAAATTTCCATTTCTAATTATGATATAAAACATGGTTCATAAAAAGATATTACAGAAAGAAAGAAAGAAAAGAAAATGGAAACATAGTCTTACCATTTTTGGATCATCAATATGATAAACATTTTTCTTATACCTACCATTATATTTTTTAAATTAAAATTATTCTGACTTTATGTTATATTATGATAATTTTATATTGCTAACTATCTATCTAATGTGTTCTTTTTAAGATTACATAATCTTCTATCATATTTCATTACAGCATAATTCATTAATTGATTTTCTTATTATTGGATTTTTTTTTCCTCTGGTCTAAAAAATTTCTTTTTTTTTTTAAGATGGAGTCTGTCTTTATCGCCCAGACTGCAGTGCAGTGGTGCCACCTCGGCTCACTGCAGCCTCCACCTGACAGGTTCAAGCCATTCTCCTGCCCCAGCCTCCCAAGTAGCTGGGATTAGAGATGTGCACTACCACATCCAGCAATTTTTGTATTTTTAGTAGAGATGGGTTTCACCACGTTGGTCAGATTGGTCTTGAACTCCCTGCCTCAAGTGATCCACCCACCTGGGTCTCCCAAAGTGCTGGGATTACAGGTGTAAGCCACTGCGCCCAGCCTCAGAGTGAATATTCTTATTCTTTATTATGTACCTCTGTGATTATTTAGTGTTTACTTAAAAAATAGATCACTGGATTAAAGTGTATTAACATTATTCTGACTGCAAATTCATATTGTTAATATAACTTCCAGAAAATTTATGTTTACCACTGTTTGACTTTATAAAGTTAAATAAATCACCAGCATTTGTATTTTATTGCCTTCTTTCAACTCACATGGCAGTGTCTTAAATTTATCTCTATGAAATTAATTGTAAATTTGGTAAATCAAAATTTACCAAATATATCATTTCTGTCTAATTTTTTTGCAATCTTATACTTAAACAGGTATCCTTTAAGCACCTAGAAATGCATGTTTTTGATAAATCCATTTCTGTTATAAAAGTTCTCGAATTAGAGTGAGATTCCATCTCAAAAAAAAAAAAAAAAAAATTTCCCAGTTAAAACATGTGGCCTCTCGTGTCACAATCTAGCTTTATGCTAAAATGTTACTGTGTCTGTCCCTTTATATTATGCTCCTCTCTAAGCTACATAATCTGCTTAAGAAAATAAGCCCCTTGCCCTGAATACCATGGCAGTGTCTTAAATCTATCTCTATGAAATTAATGGTAACTATTTGGAAACCCATGAAGTAATCAACAGACACGTCAAGAAATTCTCAAGAAGAGGATGAATTTAACTTTCCTTAAATCCTAAAACCATCCTGTGAAGTAGATAAGGCATCTACTTTGTCTTTTGAAGAAAAAAATGAAGGCATTTTTTGGGAGATGAGGTCACAATGGCTACTACCATATCAGCGTTAGCTGGAATTCACACCCAGACAGGGTTACTAAATTTGGCAACTAAAACACAGTGCAAGTATATATCAAATATTGCGTGAGACAAACCTATTTTTAAAAAATGGTTTTTATCTGAAATTCGAATTTAACTGGGCATTCTGTTTTTTATCTGACACCTCTTTGTCTAGTCCCGTCTGACTTCAGGGCACCACACAACTTTTGCATCTGGAAGGTAAAAACATGGAAAATTAGTCAAGTCGCCCATTTCAAGAAATTGCCTCTAACAGTGATAGCAAAGAATACTTGTATAGAAAAACGTTTTTCACCAACTGTGATTCAATTTCCTCATCTTCACTTTCGAATGCACCTTAAACCCCTTTGCACTTTACCTGCATATAAATGCAAAATCTGATAATGCCCATTATTATCCTTGAGGCTCCATGCGGTGGCTCATGCCTGTAGTCCCAGCATTTTGGGAGGCGGAAGCCAGCAGATCACATAAGGTCAGGAGTTCAAGACCAGCCTGGTGAACATGACGAAATCCCATCTCTACTAAAAATACAAAAATTAGGCAGGCATGGTGGCACACGTCTGTAATCCCAGCTACTCAGGAGGCTGAGGCAGGAGAATTGCTTGAACCCAGGAGGCAAAAGTTGCAGCAAGCCAAGATCATGCTACTGCAGCACTCCAACCTGGGCAAGGCATTGAGGCTCCGCCTCAAAAAAAAAAAAATGTATATATATACACACACACACATATGTATACATATATGTAATATATATAATTTTCCCTCATATCTAGTAAATATTTTTTAATCACCCAATTTGCATCTAGCATTCATGAAAGTACTCAGACTTCTGTGGATCTCCTTAATATTTTCAACTTGATTTTGCTTCTTGGGGAGTTAAGGCCTTTAGAAAATCACTGCCTGTTGTTGAATGTGAAAGACCTTTTTGTTCTTAGATTCAGTGTTCACTTTACTTCAGCCTCTCCAATGCCATCTGTTATTACGCGCTTCGGGGGAGTTTTCTGAGATACCACACTGGACTTAAATATATGGGTTTTGGAGTCCCAGGCCTGAGTTTGAATCTCATCTTCGCTGTTCACTAGCTCTGGGATTTGGAGCACGATAATGAACTGTTGGGCCTCAGTGGCAGTTTTCATGTAATGAGCATAATAATAGTAGGTTTGTTGTGAGGATTAAAATGAGACATAGTAATATGAAGCATTTATTCTGCTTCCTAAAGGGTTGTAAATACTTTAGAAGTGGCTATCATAATTTTAAAAAGACAATTATCAAAGTTAAACTTTGTTTTACAATAATTGCATTGTCTTTATTAAATTATATGGTTTCTTTTTAAAGCTGAAGATATATTTTCTGGTTAGAAAATATAGCAGCGTTGGCTGGGCACTGTGGCTCACGCCTGTAATACCAGCACTTTGGGAGGCTGAGGCAGGCAGATCAGGAGGTCAGAAGTTTGAGACCAGCCTGGCCAAAATGGTGAAACCCCATCCCTACAAAAAATACAAAAATTAGCCAAGTGTGATGGTGCACACCTGTAATCCCAGCTACTCAGGAGGCGGAGGCAGGAGATTTGCTTGAACCTGGAAGGCGGAGGTTGCAGTGAACTGAGATCTCACCACTGCACTCCAGCCTGGGTGACAGAGCAAGACTCCGTCTCAAAAACAAAAAAAAGAAAAGAAAAATATACCCGCATTAATTAGAGCATTCTGCTTGCAGTCCTACCTACCTCATACACAGATGATATAATTACAATAAACATATCTAAAAAGAAATCAAAATAACAAGATCCAGAATTCATGCCATAGGTAGCCATGAATGTTCATTTTTCTCATGGTTTGCTTGTTATTTGAAACTTTCTTAAATGATTTTAATGAATTAAATAAAACAGGGCAATGATTCTAGTAAACCTTTCTTCCTCCAGCCAACTGAGTATTCTGGATTCCAGGGATCATGTGTATTAGTTGAGAAAATTACTTAGCTTTTTAGAAGCTTAATTTCCTTATTTATAAAGTGGAAATAATAACACCTACTTCATTAGGTTTGTATGAGACTTAAATGGATTTAGCATTTCACACACTGTCAGAATACGAAGAGGACACTTCATAATTGTGTTCTCTCTCCCTTTTCCTTCCTTCCAAACTGTGGAGCACATAAACTGGAGCTTTGCAGCATATTGCTGAGATCTTAGCTGTACTCAATATGCTGCAATGGGAGTTTTCATAAGCAAATACCTGTGGCTGTTAAGTAACTAACTTATGCTGGGTGTGGTGGCTCATACCTGTAATCACCTTGGGAAGCAGAGGTGGGCAGATCACTTGAGGTCAGGAGTTCGAGACCAGCCTGGTCACTATGGTGAAAACCCATCTCTACTAAAATACAATATGAACTGGACATGATTGTACATGCCCATAATCCCAGCTACTTGGAAGGCTGAGGCAGGAGAAGGGCTTAAACCCAAGGGCAGAGTTGCAGTAAGCTAGGATTGTGCCACTGCCAGCCTGGGTGACAGAGTGAGACTCTGTCCCAAAAAAAAAAAACCACAAAGATGCCTTTTTCTATTTTTTATGTCTTATTTCTAAGTAATTTATTATATAATTCTAGCAAAATATAACCAGGTGAAATAATTTCAATTTTCATTCAGTAATTTCATTTTTTAAATGAATATCTATGTTTTCATGTGTGTAGACTGTTTAACAATGCAAATTAATAATCCTTCATAAAGGCAAAAAATTTGCTCAAATGTTTGTGCATTCATTTCAC